CCCCAACCTTAGCAACTTTAAGACTTGTGGACTTCAACTCCCAGAATTCCTCAGACAGCAAAGCTTAAAGCTTATGATTCCACAAGTCTTAAAGTTGCCAAAGTTGGAGAGCCCTGTTCTAGACAGTGTCTATTGCTAGACATCATTGATAGACAATAACTTTTGCTTATGTATAACCTCTATAACAACCTCCAGATTTAAAGTCCATTGGAGTATGCAAGGCCAGTATACTAATGAGATTCAAATCCAAAGAAGAGTGAGGCAGGTATGTATTTTAGCCCCCATAAATATGAATTTATATATAAATTCACTTGTGGCCAGAATGAATCAATTAGAGTAATCTCCCACCAAAATTAGCAAACAAGCATATTGCTATCTTGTTATATGCAGATGACAGAACACTTCTGTCACAAACATTAATTGGACTCAAACTAAGTCCAATTATTGCCTTGACCAGGTATTGCTCAGAGCAAGCTTTCAAAATCAGTCGTAGTAAAACCAATATTTTTTTTGCAGACAAACCTAAATAGTATGCTTGGAGGATAAATGACCAGAATATTGAACAAGTTAAAATCTTCAAATATCTGGCATGATTTTCTATTGTTCCACAAAATGCAGTGTGCAGCAAAACTATGCTATAAAAAATTCTCAAAAAACGGTGACTGCGATCTTTCTATTTCACTAGAGGAGCATGGTATATACAAGCAGCACCGAAGCTATTTTCAGGAAAGGCTCATTTACAACTATTCTTCGATGCCCAGCTAGGACCCTATTTCTCTGTTGCCCCTCTTGAAAAATTCCAGTTTAAATTTCTAAGGGCCTGCAATATGTGGGTAGACCCCTTTGTTTCCAATATATTCTACGGCAGGAAGCAGGCCTGTTCAAGATAGAAACTAGTGCATGTATCCGCATTGTAACACTGTTGTTACAACATTATAACGCTGAAACTACTGTTCTTTCTCACAGGCCTGAGCTCTTTCTTATGGAGAATAACTATAAATTAACTTGGATTAATGCTATTGTATTAAAACGCAAACCTCGCCATCTCTCCCAGGAGGAGTTCCTAATAGTTGGCTATGAACATGCACTTAGTGCATTTAAACAACATATTAAAGATCAAGAAATTCAACAGAACCCATTTTACCCAAGAATGTTTTCTTAAACAGACAGGACCTCCCCCCATCACAAACCAGCAAGATATTTATATTACATAACTGTCTCTAAATTTCGGAGGACATTAACTTTAGTATTTTGGAATGCTCTGCCCACACCAGTTCTGGAAGGCCAATATAAAAAAGTTCCATATAAGATGAAGCTGTGCCCCTGTGGAGAAGGGACCATTGAAATTGCAGCTCATATCCTGTTATATTGAGCACCTCCAAGGGACTCACAGTCTCGTCTTATAACACCTTACCTGATTAAATATCCCAGAAACTCTGAACATTTTTACATTACACTACCATTGTTGAATCAGTATGATTCAGGTACTCTAAACGTAGCTAGTTTTGCTACATTAGGCAGACTTTGGTCACCCATTAATTTCATTGTCAATCGTAACATATTACTATGCCTTGTGTTGTTTGGTTCTGTTCAGTTTTGCTTTATTTTAATGTTTAATTTTTTGTGCTGGTCCATGACTGTAATAAGCATAAATTGAAATAATTCCTGGTCCTTTCATCTAAAACTGTTAACCAGAAATTCCAAAATCTGAACATCTATTCATAAGATATATTGAGAGGTGACCGACCCTTGCAAAAGAACTATTTAACAAATCAGGTCTCTGGCCTATCAGCCCAATCCTTGCTAAAGGTAACTAACAGACACTTGTCTAGTGATTTTTTCCAAAATCTATTCCTTGATGATTTTAATATCTAGCATTATAAGGTTCAATTTCTCCAAGTAAACTGGCTTTTTAGCCAATCTGAATTTTTACTGGATACCATTTCACTTGCTCTTATCTAAAATTTAGAAATTGCTTTTAAGTGTTTACATTCTAGCATTTGAAGTTAGTCTGGTTTTCATTTTGAATTTAGAATTGTTTTCCAGATGTCATGCCTTGAATTAATCTGAGCTAATGTGAGACTGACCCTAATGAAAGCAAGTGAAGATCTTAACTGAAGAACTAGAGAATCACAATACAATGTTTCAAACTCTTGAGGGATCTGTTACATAAATTTTACATAGTGTGAAGTATTATTATTAACAAATAGCTACTTATTTAAGAGGCGTAATCTTAGCAGCTTCTAGTAGTTTGTCAGGCCAACAATTGCACTTTGAAATTGTTGGTTCTTAATGCTCTCTGAGCTTGTTCTTGTTTTGTTTTGTTTATTTTTTTTTCAGATACTTTATTATCAGACTAGATAACATTATCAGTGCAAGTGAAAATGGAATTTGATAGCTGTTTATATATACCGTGTTTCCCCAAAAATAAGACCCCTTCTTATATTTTATTGATCCTGAAATAAGCACTTGGCTTTATTGCCATGCTCTCAAAAGCCTGATTGGGCTTATTATCAGGGGATGTCTTATTTTGGGGAAAACAGGGTAATAAGTTGTCCTGTCAATCTTAGTGAGCATATGGCTTCTTCCTTGATGATTCCTTGTCTCTGTTATTGTATCTTCCCTGTTTACCTGTTGCTGTTTCTTCCTTATGTCTCTGTCATATTAAAACAGGAACAGTAGAGAAGATATATGAGACAATAAGCATCATATTGGAATACAGAAATAGTTTCAAAAGAAGGCAGCACCATATTATCCTTCCTGGAAACCCTCATGAGCAAAGAAACATTGGCAAATTAGAAACTCATGTTTATTAAAACGTAACTCACATTAGAGCTTCACTGTCAAAACAACAACCCAACCACTCAGAACAAGAACTGCATACAAACATTATTCTAAGTACAAACTCACTGTAGTAACCTGGAATATCAAAAAGGGGAAGCAGACCACTTATAAGTCATCTTCCAATAGTTACCAGCAACTTCATCACAAAGTGGCTAAGTACAATGCTCAACTATTACAGCCTACACAAAAAAAATATTCCCATACATCAAAAACATCTCTGAGACAATGAAACAGACTACTAGGTATAACCATTCATTATCACTGAAGTTAACCAAGCAACAAAATCCTTCCAAAACATCTTAAGCAAACCAAAAGACTCAGCGGCCAAAGAGGAAAAATTGGATTCATTGTACAGTGTAAACACTATGTAGGCTGTTAAAAAAAAGACTAGCAGACTGCTTTCCATGAACATCTGCTGGCAGTCAGAAGATATGACAAAAACTCCTCGTTTCAACTGGGAAACTGTTAACGTTATTGATCAAGCCAAATAAAAAAATGCAAGGGAATTCCTAGAAGCTTGGCATTCACCCAAATAAGCCATCAATAGACACAGAGACATAACCCCATTTTACATATTATTTAAAAGACACAATCAAAAACTTGGATGGGAAACAAACAGCCTAGAACACATCTTCACAAGCAACTAAAATCCTGATATAGGAAACAGAACAAAATCAACTATCAGAGAGGAAACAATGCCCTAATCAAGGAACTACTAAGAAGGAAACAACATCTCTACTAAAATTGGCAAGGCAAACTACTACATATAAATAGCAAAGCTCAGTTTTCCACATACTGATGTTACTGGTAGTAAACAATCTTCAAGAAAACAATTAAGCTCAGAGAACCTCAGAGAAAATGGAGCTATACGTATTCTCTTGTGTTGATATTGTGTAAATTTAAGTAAATGTGTCTCTGCTTCTATAGAAAGGTGTTAAATAAAAATCTAACTACATACCTCCTGCTTATTTCTTATTAAACAAGGACTCTCTACAAGATTTTTCCTGGACAAAATTACAGCAAAACATGATGTTCTCTGAAACACTGCAGCCCTCCAGAGGAGATACACCTCTATAGGTTTAGGACAATTTGGAGTAGCCAGCTCAAGGCCACTAAGTTGTTACAAGAAAATTCTATGTGGTCAACTCATCCCAGGGACAACTCGCGCAAGAGGTCAGAGACAGACCCAGGTGGGTGGGCTAGCAAGCGGGTGGATAGAGTGCAGATCGGTGGGGCAAGGGGCTTTCCATTTTCACACCCCCTGCCACTGCCACTGAATTCAATGGGCAGGTTGGGCAGTGGGGAGGCAGCAGTGGCCAATGGTGACCTATTTTCATACACCCCAGCACTACCAATTCTGGCTTTAGCCCAGAGCTCAATATGGCAGTGGCAGGGGATGTCCCCGACAGCCGCTGCCTCCCTCCCACCTGCCCCATCCACTGACACCATAGTTCCTAGCTTTTTTGGCCCAGAACTCAGCACAGCAGCAGCAGGAATGTGAAACTGGGGAATTCCCTGCCACCACCCTGCTGTCTCCTCACCTGCTTGTTCACCCACCCACTCGATTCTCCCTCTGGACACCCATGGCAAGTTGCCCGCACAGCAAATTGGCAATGTGAAGTTGTCCTGCAGTGACTTGGTGCTAGTGAGTTGGCCAGGGAGACTTGGCAGTGGCGAGCTGGTGGCAGGGAGCTGGCTGTGCTATGTTGGCTGCAATGAGTTGTCCCATTCCGGACCCTATCCTCTTTGCCTTCTGTAAGAGCCTCAAAATGTGGCTCTGATGATTGGCCCTGAGTCCTGGTCGGACATTCAGTGTTGAAGGTAGTTGGTTGACTAGGAAAAGATCCTGTCTCCTGTAGTATTCTGTTTTTTTAACTTATTAAATCTCTGTTCATTTTAGTATTTAATTTTTTGTACCTTTGTTTTTATGATGCATGTAAATTGTGCAGAGTCACTTGACAATGAGATGGAAGGCATATAAATTTAATAAATAAAATAGAAGAACCATAATTATAAATGCTATGTACATAATATTCAAATTAAATTAGAAGATAATCTTTATGCCTTTATAAGTGACACAAAACTGTCCATTAACTGAATAAAGTTAACACAGAAATTATTTTGGTCTTCATCTTGTTCTGCATTATAATATTTACCTGTTTGGATGCCTAGTTGGCTGCTTCGAGAAGTGGAAGTTATGAAATCTGGATCCCAGATAGGAGAATTTTGACTGTATACCTCTTCCTCCAACATGGACAGGAACCTTAACACAGAGGTCAAAGCAGTATTAATGTACATAGTGTAACCTACCAAGATAACTTCTTCTATTATAGCGAAAATTGAACAAAAATAACAAAGTAGGTATATCTTCTATAACATAAATGGTATAGTCAAAATAGCTGATTTTTAAAGTATTAAAAGCGGAAGACATAGAAGAGCAAGTACTTTTTTGGCTTAATTCCCTGAAGTACTTCAATGTATTAAAATAATAGAATCATTTTATTAGTATCTAATCATTTTAAAGATTATTATGTTCAAATAAACTGTTCATTCACTTGTTTTTCCATTCTGACCACATGCTGCTATTCAGGGTGGGGTATTTAGAATATTTTAAATAAATTATCTAGTTTGATAATGATGATTCCAAGGATATGGCTATTCTAAGATTCAAATGTTACTCTAATATTACATAACAGCTATATATAAAAAGTAGACTGATCAGCCTTACTTATTACTTTTACTTCTTATAAGCTGCCCTAAGTAATGAAGACTCTAGAAGGAAGATATAAACATGTTTGTAAGCATGTATGTGTGTGTGTGTGTGTGTTTGTATATACATACCTATGCATATATGTACATATCTGTGTACATAGAAATACATATATGTGTATCTGTTTATGTGTACAGCAGATAGAAATAAGATAGACAGATTAGACAGATAGATATAAATTTATAGCATGTAGATATAGATATAGAGATATAAATATAACCTCCCACCTTCTGGTGTGCTGCTTAATCATTATAGGCAGTTATTTCACTTGGTATGCTGAAGAACATCAATAGGCAGATACTAATTTATTCAAAGAAGATCCAGCAAATATGGGAGGAGTGTGAGGAACAAACAATCAAGAAATATGCCACAACTAGTATTTGTTGTATCTTAACTAGTATAGAATAACCATGAAGACCTTGGAAAAGATATCTGGATGCTGTAATATGTCTATAGTTAGAAAGATCAAAATAATTCAAGCAATGGCATTCCCTATGACATTCTAAGAAAGTGAATGTTGACCTTTGAAAAAGCAGGATAGAAACAATAATGATGCTCTTGAAATTTGGTGTTGGACAAAATGCTTACAAGCATAATGGATTGCTAAGAAAGCAAACAAATACATCACCAAACAAAATCAAGCCAAGTGTTTATTCAAGGTACAAATGATCAAAATGTTCTATTTATCTTGCAAATATCTAGCCTCTCCAGGGAAGATTCTAGTGCTGAGCCAATGTATAAAGATGTGGATGTCCAGTAACATGGTGGATGAATTCACCATGCAGATGGGGACACAATTGGAATACTTGGTATACCAGGTTAGGGGACAGATGATCACAGAAAAAGTGTATCTATCTATGCTAAGTGTTGACACTGATCTGATGGCAGCTAATGAATGAATCCATCAATCAAAGCTCATATATTATCATCCCAAACAAATATTATGTGAGATGAAGATGTCTTTACTGAAGTTGTGGACTATATAATCCACCATGAGGGCTGGTAAATAGATGTTTTTTGACCTCTCACTTTCAGACTAAGTGATTGGTCAAAATCATCATCTGGCCTCCATGCCTAAGAAAAGGATTAGAACTTGGGTTCCTTGCTTCTAGTCCAGCATCTTAACCAACGTTTATGTATGTATGTATAGGCTCCAGGCAAGAAATGAATTAGAAGTACGGTACTTATATCAGTTCTACTTTAAAAGTCTTGTCTTCTTCTAAATATTATAAGAACTACTGATTGGAAGATGGTGCCTAAAACGCTAGTAATCTGGGAGGGGAATATGGTTATTTTTCAGAGAGATGAATGGAAGCTGTGGCTATATATATCTGTAATGCAGACTTCCAGAAGACCACTAGGTGGCAGTAAAGCAATCCTGATGGAACCCAGCAGGCCATTAGATTTTGCGTTTATTAAAAAAAAATCCTTCTAAATTTTAAGGATATTATTTTCCTCAAAGACATTGTTTAAAAACTGCTGCCCTATATCTATGAAACTATATTTTATTCCTTAAATATTTAGTTAGAGTTTAGTGGATTTTAGTTTGGGACAAAGGAGGTAGAGAAATAAAGTGCAACTACACATTTTCTAGCCAAAATTACCAAATGGCTTAATGTTATTTCATATGTAAGTACTGTATTTTTAAAAATATCCATGCATTTTTATCTACAAGACTGCACAAGATGGCTTAGAAAAATTAAGCCACATCAAACAATCCCAAATAAATTCCCAAAGGAATTATACCAGCAAAGAAACAGCAAAATCTATTTGAATAATAATAATTTAAGGGAAAAACCAGAAATGAAATCACTTATAGAAATAAACAAACCATAAATGGATGCTCATCCTAAAAGCTTTGGTTTTGGTTTTCTAATCTCAACAAACTCTGAAAACAAATAGTAGCTAATATCACATATCACAACAGGTAACAGAACCATTTTGGAGACTGCTTAAGCTTCCCCTGGCATCACTTTCCCCTTGCAAAGTGATGGCAATTACTCTTCTGACTGTTAAACTGATATTTATAACCTTCAACTCTTTAAAGCGATATTGCACCTTAAAACTACATTAAAGCATGCCTGTTACATTCTTTCCTTGCTGTCTGTTGAAGGCTCTGCTTTGAAAAATAAGAACCCAGCCAGAATTCTAAATGGCAGTTTCACCAGGCAGTGAATATAGCCAGGCACTTTAGTTAAAGCAGCCCCAGAGTAATAACATTAATCATTGCAAGAATAAATTTTACAAATATATAATGGCTCAACCCATATATTAAAAGGAATATGTATTTTTCTTCTTACATTGAGCTGATGTAAAGAAGATGCTTTCCAGAGCTCCCATATAGCTAGAATGATTATTAATATCCATAAAAATTATCATTCCAGTTATAGTATATTAGCTATGTATTTTATTCTAGGAATTAAACCTGCTAAAATATAATGTAACCTATGAGTTAACAAAACTATGGACTTTAATTGTATGACTGTAGTTCTACAGACAAGGGAGTGATCAATTGATCACCTTGGGATTTAATTTTAATTACACGTGCTTAACTGTGAGGCTGATATTGCTAAAGCACTTACCTTGGAAGAAAATCAACTGAATTCAATTGATAAGTTTTAAATAAGCTTATATAAGATGGTGCTAATTTTTTGCCCAAATCCTCAAAATGACTCATTACATTAAGAACTATTGTTCTAGGATATTTACTTTGTTATTTCACCTTGAATATAAGACCCTGTCAGCTCAAGAAAAAAAAAAGACAAATATGAACAAATCAAATTTGGACAATGTTTGATATAAACTATGGTTCCAAGGAAAAGACATTAGATTCCATAATGTTACACGAGAAATATGGCTGCCTATTAAAACTAACCACTTAGCACACTCATTAATCATGTTAACAGCTCAGCCTTCCTCCAACCTAATACCTTTCAGAAGTATTGGTTCTGGTTGCCACGCTAGTTAGGAATTTTCAGAACTGAAGTTTATTGGAATTCGACAAACTTGAAGAACAGTAGGATGATGTTTGCTAGCCAAAGCAATTTTGTGAACAGCTTGTCTGATGACTGAATCAACCAACTCGCTGTGGGACAATTCAACAAATACAAAAGTTAAAGTAATTTCAATGAAATCATGACCTATAATAATAAAAGAAAGTCAATCCAGAAATACAAAAATTACAATAATTTTGATGAAAATGTAGTCACCAATAATTAAAAGTTACTCAATGAAATGATTAATGCAGCATTGAATTGTCCCATAGCGAGTTGGCAATGGTGAGTTGGCCACAGCAAGTTATCCTAGATGCATCTGATAAGTCAGACTCTGAAGTAGAAGACAGATTCTAACTCTGGCAATCAGGAGTCAGTCGGTTCTCAGGTAATTTAGCCAAGATTAAGGAACAGAAATGATTGGAAAATTAACTTCAAGTCTTAGACATCTACTGCAAAAACATAACAAGATAAATCACCTGACTTTTTCTGAGCAGAAAATATCCTAAGCCCTAATATGCAGAAAGATCAATTGAGTAAAACAAATGTTCTGTGAGGCTCATCTAAAGAAAAAGGTAATTCAGGAAAACAGGCATATCCAAATCAGTACTTTAAAAAAAGGGCTTGGGAGTCAAATTTCTGTTAGCAAACAATGATTTTCCAACCTTGAATATGAGTTCGTGAATGTGCTGTTTCTGATTTTGGAATTAGTACAAGACTGCTCTCAAATTTGAATCTTGGACTTGCACACCTGGAGCCTTCACTTCTGAAGTAATCTTGTTTTTCCTGAGCATTTACATTTTTGCACTGTGATAAGATCTATAGCTGTCATAAAGAACTCTGATACAAGTACGATCTCCTGTACTTATAATTGCTGGCACAGGACTGACTATTGGCCAACCTCACATAAGAAGTACCTCAACTGTAATCAATGTTATAGAGCAACTAAAGATGAGTAACTGAAAGCTCAGCTGACACATTTGTCAATACAGATGGAAATACCGTGTCCTGAATATCCTGTCTCAACACCTGAGAAATTTGATTGTGCTCGCTGCTAGGTTCTTGCTTTGGGAAACTAAATGTGGTCTCTTATCTTGAATATTTCTATTTAGACTATAAAGTTAGATTCATTATCAATTGTTTTTAGTTCAGCTGCTAAATGGGCTCTTCTCTTTATAGTAAGTGTATCAGGTAATTCATGTTCATGTTTGAGAATCCTACTAAATCCACCCTGTCAAGTCATAACATTAGTTAATTGTGACTAGAAGTCATTTCAGTGGCTGTGTATGCAACTGGCTCAGGTTCTTGGCATTCAGTGCCAGGAGGGCTGGTGGTATCCTAGATAAGATAAACCAGAGTAGAATATGCTTACATTTTACAAAATTTAAGTCATATGTGCTTGCAAATTCATGGGCATCTAGACTAATGAAAAGGGACGTTGGTCCTACCTGATACGTTCCTTCTCGTTGAGTGGAGACAGCAGCCAGTGTGGGTAGTACTCGCCCAATCAGATTGGAGGACTGAGTCTGCCAATAATTTTTAGTCCAGCCCCTGTTGCCGGGTAGACCAGCTTTTGGCGAAGACTTGAAGACAGACTCGGCATGTGGGATATGAAGGAAGCACAGGTAAGTAGCAAAGACAGAAACAGCAAGGACCAGCCTAAGCAAAGAAGGGAGGGTCTGGCTGCTGTCTCCACTCAACGAGAAGGAACATATCAGGTAGGACCAAAGTCCCTTCTCAATTGAGAGTGGAGGCAGCAGCCAGTGTGGGACATACCCAAGTTCACTGTCCTGAATTCGGGGGGGAACAGGCTGGTCAGAGACATCTTCCCCAGCAACGACCCTCTGAAGGATCCGCCGTCCAAACGTGGCCTCTACCGACGCAAACTGATCCAATTTATAGTGCCTTATGAACAGGACAGGCAAAGTCCAAGTGGCAGCTCTACAGATCTCAAACAAAGGAGCCTGGGTCACCCACGCTGCCATCATAGCCGCGCTGCAGGTGGAATGAGCAGTAAGTCGTGAAGGACGCGGAAGTGCCAGAAGGTCGTAGGCCGAGGCGATGGTCTGTCGAATCCAGCGCCCAATGGTAGAAGATGAAACTTTACCACCTTGGGAGACAGGCAAGAAGGAGACGAACAGCGATTCCGAACAGCGGAAGGGAGTAGTCCTCTTTAGGTAAATCCCTAACACCCGTGTGACATCCAAAGAATGCCAACGTCTCTCCCTTGGGTAAGAAGGTCGGGGGCAGAAATTAGGTAGTATAAGCTCCTGTGAACGGTGAAAAACAGAATTTGGCAGAAAGGTCGGGTCCAAGCATAGGACAACGCGATCCGAGTGAAATACACGAAGGTCAGAACGGGTCAACAAGGCTGCAATCTCTGAGATGCGGCGGGCAGAAGTTATGGCCACCAAGAACGCAACCTTACAGGAGAGAAGCCGGAGACTAGTGGTTCGTAACAGCTCGTATGGAGGGCCCATCAGCGACTTCAACACCAGCGGAAGATCCCAGGTAGGGTATCTATGCAGCATGGGAGGACAGAGGTTCGTGGCGCCCCGGAGGAAATGGCGGATCAGAGGATGCTGGGCCAAGGACAACAAGGAACCACAGGTAAGGACAGAGGACAAAGCGGCCACCTGCCGCCGTAAGGTGTTAGGCGAGAGACTGTGGGATAGGCCCTCCTGCAAAAAAACCAAAATGTTCACAATGGACGGTTGGAGAGAGTGTATACCGTTCTGGCCACACCAGGAGCAGAAGGCCCACCAGGTAGCAGAGTAAATACGGTCCATAGAGGAACGGCGGGAGGCCTGCAATGTTCGAATAACATCCGCTGGAATGTTGGCCACCCTCAACGTGCTCCACTCAACCACCAAGCGGTCAGATTGAGCCAGGACAGGTCCGGGTGATTCAGAGCACCCTGCGAGAGGGTGTCGTCCTCGAGGGGAATGTGCCATGATGGGGCCACCGAGAGGGACACGAGGTCGGCAAACCAGGGTCTCCGGGGCCAATGAGGAGCCACAAGGATCACTTCCTCCCGCTCAAATAAGATCTTGCGGATGACCCTGGGGAGGAGGGACACCGGGGGAAAAGCATACAAAAGGCCTGTCGGCCACGGAGTCTGAAGAGTGTCGATGCCGGCAGCATGAGGATCCGGATATCGGGCGAAGAACGTTGGAAGTTGCGCGTTCTTGTGCGTTGCGAAGAGGTCGACAATCGGAGTGCCAAACCGGAGAGACAGGTCCCGGAAAATGCACGGGTGGAGACGCCACTCTGCATTGTCCACTCAATGGCAGCTCAGCCAATCCACCTGGGAGTTCATCACACTGGAGATGTGCTCCACCCGAAGGGAGCATAGGTGGCGCTCCACCCATAGCCCCAATTTCATTGCCACTGTCAGGAGAGATCGCGACCTGCTGCCTCCCAACCTGTTCAGGTGCGCCTTGGCGGCAATGTTGTCTGTCAGGATGAGAACATAAGCCCCGGACACAAGGTGACGAAATGCCTTCAGGACAAGAAAGACTGCTTGCAGCTCCAGCCAGTTGATTGGATGTCGAGACTCCACGGAAGTCCATGTCCCTTGCTCCAGATGGCTCTGGCAATGAGCTCCCCAGCCAAGGAGACTGGCATCCGTTGTCACCACCACCCTCAGAGGCTCGAGGAAGAAGCAACCTGCAGCGAGAGCGGGGGAACGCCACCATCAAAGGGACCAGCAGACGGCCTGAGGAACTGGAACCGGCCTGGACGAAATGCCTCTGCCCGCCTTCTGCAATGGTAAGAGAAACCATTGAAGTTCCCAGGCGTGTAGCTGAGCCCAGGGAACTATGGATATGGCAGAGATCATCTTCCCCAAGAGCTGCGATAGAATATAGGGTGAGACGGCCCGACACCCTTCAACCTTGGAGACCAACTGCCGTAGACTGTCCTGTCTCTCGGGGGAAAGAAAAACCTTACCCTGAAGAGAGTCAATCAGAGCCCCTAAATGAACCAAACTAGTGGAGGGGAAAAGGTGGCTCTTCTCCAAATTAATTGAGAAGCCATGAGCCGCCAGAGTCTCAACAGTAAGGCGCACATCCGGAGCAGCTTGCTGGACAGAGGGAGACAATACCAAAATATCATCAAGGTAACACAAAAGTCTAACTGAATGGAGTCTAAGGAAGGCCGCTAAGGCGGCTAACGCTTTCGTAAAGGTACGGGGATGGAGGACAACCCAAAGGGAAGAGCCCTATATTGGTAATGCACCCCCCCATAACAAAATCTCAAAAACTGTCTATGGGAAGGGAGGATAGGAATGTGTAAATAGGCCTCTGTGAGGTCAATGGAAGAGAGGAGATCGCCCCTCTGCATACCGTCTAGGATTGTTTTCAAAGATTGCATTTTAAATTTATTTATTTATTTATTTTATTTTATTAGATTTCTATACCGCCCTTCTCCCGAAGGACTCAGGGCGGTGAACAGCCAAAAGATAAAACACAGAAATACAAAATTTAAAATAGATTAAAACAGATTAAACAATTTGGCTAAATTTTAAAAATATCCCATAATTAAACAAATTAAAATTAGTGTTTAAAATTTGAATTTAAAAATTTTAAAAGGGAGAAGATTTAGGCCAGGCCTAAATTTACGGTACACAACATACCTGTTCAATTGTTTTAGGTTCAGAATGGGTCGCCGCCGCCACCCCCCGAAGATTTAGGAACCAGAAAAACCCGGGAATAGAAGCCCGTGCGTTCCTGACCAGGAGGCACCAGTTGAATCACCCTGATGGTCCGGAGGTGCTGAACCGTTACAAGAAATCAGACAGGAGACAAAGGAGTTTGGAGGGGGTGGAGACAAATTCAATGGCCAGCCCTGATCGTAAGGTGGCCTGGACCCACTTGTCCGAAGTGGACCGCTCCCAAATGGCGGCGAAGAGAGCCAATCTGCTGCCTATGGGAGGGCCGGAGATGCAATTAACAACGGCGCCCGTAGGAACGACCCCCTCCCCCTTGAAAGGGCCGTTTGGAAATAAATGGTTTGTCCCGTAAGGACCTATCTTGGGAACCCCACTGTCTGTTGAATTGATTAAACGAGTCAGGGGAAGAAAAGGGAGTAGAACCCCCGGTGTCAGGACCTCGGAATTGTGAGCGAGGTGGGTAAGGAGAGAAGCGTGTAGTGCGATTGAAGAACAAGGCCGTGGTCGCCGCTCTAATCGCCCAAGCTGAACTTTGATGAAACCTCTGGAGGACCAAGTCCGACCGACGCTCCTCCGGCCGTAGGCCTTCGTCCGGATCCCCGGGAACACCGGCGTTAGGCAACAAGGCGGCCACAGGAGGGTCCACAGAAGGAATTCGTAGAAGGGAGTCCAAATCCTCGGCCACCTGGAAGTTCTTGTGGTCATTCGAGGACGGGAGTGGCGCAGACCCTGGAGAAGACCACTGACATCGTACCACATCCAAAAAGAGGGGAGGAGTAGGAATCAAAGTCACCGGTCTCGAAGGCTCCGCAAACATGGGATCCAAGGTCGCAGAAGAAGAAGAAGAAGAGGCAGGAACAGGATCAGCATTTGGAGATGACAAACGGGCAGTATTAACGGCCTTGAAAAGCAAGGACTTAAACAACGCCTGAGGAAAGAGTCCAGTGAAGGCCGGTTGGTCCGGTGGAAGGTTATCATCATCCGAGAGACCAGAGTCACTGTAATCCGCTTCTGTCAGAACTGATGAATGGCTTGAATGAGAACAAGAAGGAGAATCGGGTGCCCTATCTGACTGTGCGCTCTCCTGGACTGCCTGCTCTGGAGACTCCGAAACGACTGAGCGAGAAGAACCCAGCCCCCCAGAAGGGTGGAACCCTGCAGCCAGGGACCTTTGCACCACTGCTTCAATAAGCTGTTGCAGTTGCACCGGGAGGAGTTGGCAAGTCACAGCTGTGGCAGGAGGAACGCCAGGTGGTGACAAGGATGTGGAATCCTGGGCAACAGCTGGGCTCGAAAGATCAGGCTGAGTTTGAGATTCAACAGGCTGATTGGCCGAATGCTCCTCAGGTTCCGGGAGAGGAGGGGAAGGAGGATGACCTGAGCCCCATAAGTCAGTTGTCAAAATGACCACTGGACAATCCTGGAGTGACAGCTGGTCAGGAGTAACCAGTCGTGAAACACCCACAGGAACCACGGTATCCCCGGTGGAAGGGGCAGGAGCGGTTGCTGAAACAAGATTAGCGCTAGCCTTGGCACACAATTTTGTTAGGACCTTGTCCCTTCGTTTTTTGGCCTTGGAAGATGAAACATGATGGACATGAGACTTATGGCAGGAGCACGCTGTCTGTAAGGCCGGGGATGGCTCCTTGGAGGCCTCCCGGGCAAGCGGAGGGATAACAGACGAAGTGTCTGATTTACCCTGATTATTGTCACAGGCCCCACGGCCGTGCTTAGATTTAGCCACAGCTTTAGGCATCAAGGCGGTTATTAGACCTCTGAATAATGAAGTTCAGCAATGAAGAAGTCAAGCAGCAATAAAGGGAGCACAGAAAAAACTCCACAAGAACCAAAGGGGAGCGCTAGACTCCACAAAATGGCCGCCGATGCCTAGGTGTCAGATCACCAAATGGCGGCCGTTAAGCTGCCACAGTCCAATGTGCAGTAAATGCAACAGGGAAAACAAGTGTACTAACAGGCAGGGGCTGTTGAAATCTGAGGCAAGTTAATGTCCAAAAAGCCCCAACGGCTGCCGCAGGTACTAACAGGAGCGCGAAGCTCCACTCACAAGCAATTAGCAGATAGCGCTCACAGCAACGCTGGCTCCATTCACAAACAAGTATAAAAATGCGGTCCCAGCAGTGCTGACTAGTCCTGGCAGAAGTGGCAGGAGCGCAGAGTCAGACAGTCATAAAAGGGCAAATAGCTGACAGTAGAATCTCCAAGCAGGCTTGACAGTCAATAAATGAAACTGTAAATATCGGAGCAGTGCGAAAAGCGCTCCAAAATGGCTGCTGCCGACTCCGCGGCGCAAAATTTCTCACCAAAGATCTTTTCGGGAGCTTGGAAAACGCTGAAAGCACTAACTATTAAAACGCCAAACGAACCCACCGTCTAGGGGGAAAAAAACGGTCCAGAAGCCACCCTCCACAAAGGAGGAAGGCAGGGAAAAGGCAGCCCCGATCACCAGAAGCCAAAAGTCAAGCCAAAAATACCAAATTTGAAATGCAACACTCACAACGAAGTCAAATGGTCCAAAGTCAAACGGTCCAAAGCCAAACAGTCCAAAGCCAGTCCAAGGAATAAAGCAGAAATCGTAGACAGGAAATCCGAGTCAAAAAGCCACAAATTCCAAATCGTAATAAGAAATATAATCAGAAAGAAGCACAGAGTTAAGACCCACACACCCGTCCAACTGAAGGACTGAGTCAAAAGCTGGTCTACCCGGCAACAGGGGCTGGACTAAAAATTATTGGCAGACTCAGTCCTTCAATCTGATTGGGCGAGTACTACCCACACTGGCTGCTGTCTCCACTCTCAACGGAGAAATTACATTTCCATCCAGTTTCTTACCAAATATAAAATGGCTTCTAACTCCAAATGTCTAAGACATCAGTTGGGCCAGATTTCATCTGCCAATTAAAGTCAAGACAAATGATAACCCTGATATATATTGTACTGTGGAGATTACAGTACCATATCCAACAAAAAACAAACAAACAAACCCTACATTCTTCTGTACCAAGTAAATGGATGGCTCCAATTTAGACAGATTCCTAAGCCAAGATTACAAGCACTTCTACTCAGCCCCAGCTCTTGAACCATACCCAGAAAACATGTGGTAGTATCTGTGATCATCTAAATTTCAGTATTCCACTCTTATGGTCTTAGACCAGACGTCTTCCAACTTGGCAGCTTTAAGATTTGTGGACTTCAACTCCCAGAATTCTCCAGCCAGCATAGTTTAAAGACCTCTGTCTTAGACCATAATGAATTCTGGAGTCCAAGTAATATTTGGACCAGTACTTCACAGAGACCTTAAGATTCCCCAAGGTTAAGAACAGCTCCATTCCCAGTGGAATTCACTGTCAGACCAGTGTT